TCTTACCTAAATCACATCCTCCTTCAAAAGTTGGGGACGATGGCAGGGAAGGGCAATGAATGTGGTCACGCAAAAAGACTTGGTAAATGAACAGCTCAACATGAGGGAACTAAACAAACTTTGAAAGAGTGCTTCACTTACACGGCAATGCTCTTGCTCTTTAATATTTTGCAAGAGGGGAATTCCAGTCAGGAAAAGTAAAGCAGCATATGAAAGCAGAAGCACTTACTTCATACCAATTTCATGGATCAATTCTGTAATTCTTCAGTTGTAGCCTAAAGTATTAATGAAACTGTTATGTAACTATTGCAGCTGAATGGTGCGTTGGACAAAGTGACTTCTAGAGATTTATCCAAATGCAAATTATTCTGTACTTCTGTAGTTCATAGACAGCAACTCGCATGCTTATTGTTTTTCACATGTTCACTTACAAAAGTCCCAAGAAATCTCTACTTTTTCTTGCTCAGTAAGAAGTGTAGAAATCTTCAGAGACTATTCCCAGAGGCACGTGTGTCAGTTACACAGAACCATACCACTTTGACTTCACCATGCTGTCCTGTAGTATTTTTAATATATTATTTCTCAATGCTACATTTAATCACTGCTTCTTTTGATTATTTTTTCCCCCTTGTATGCAGTGTTCAGTAGATGCTTTTGTTGTCAACTGCAGGGGCAGCTACAGAAAACTCCTGTGACAGCACAGTTAGAAGGTAAACGACAAAAAAAGAAATACCTCCCTCTTAAGGGAATGAAAAGATACTCTTCTCTTAGAAGGAAGGGAACTAATGTATCAAGGCCACAACACATGAATAAACAGCTAATTGTGACTCCTCTCTCCCCCAGACACTCAGGGTTACAGAACCACTTTTACTGAAACGGGGGTTTTTATCAGGTTTAGAGTCAAAGTGACTTTAAGGAAAATATGTTACTGAACAGTGTTCCAGTTGTTTCTAAGGTCATGTGTCTGCTAAAAGGGAAAATTCAATTTATTTTTAGTAGTACTGCTTATTCCTGCCTTTATCATAATTTACTATAATTATGCTTATTTTGTGTTGTTCATTTGGAAGTGATTGTTTTATTATAAGGCTAAATGCAAATAATGAGATAGTTAATGCAATAAAACCCAGTGACATGGCTGTACTGTAACTGCTGCCATAAGAAATCACTGAAATATAAAACATTCATAACCTGATATTTTGTTTAAGCAGCTTTCTTACAAAAACAAAATAAGAACTAGACCTTTAAGGACCATTAAACAGAGATAATGGATCCTTCATAACATTAAGAAACAAGAAAACTCAACTTCAGAATTTATTTTTAAAAAAAATTAGAAATAGTGGAACTGGTTATGGTTGTCTCAGTATACTCTGATAAAAGCTATACCTCAGAGGATTAATGTAGTAAAGCTAACTCCTCTCTTTAAAGACACCCTGAGCGTTTTATTCCAAGAGCAATAGAAGTACATATTTTTTTAAAAATACACATGTACTGTGTGTGCATGAGGAGTATATATACCGGAGCAAAGGTACTAACAACCAGGAAAGGTCCAAATAGTCCACTTTGCCCTTGGTGAGGAGGAAGGTAGGATCTTTGTTAACTTGTTGAACCAGTTCTGAGACAAAGGACAGCAGCCTGAGGACATGTGAGTTTAATCAAGAAAATAGCAGATACCCATTAACTGAGCACCATCCATGGCTGATGCAGCTTTGTGCAACAGTACAGGGACTGGAAGAGTCAAGCTCTGTACACTGAGTTTTGAGCTCCCTGTACTAGTAAAGAAATACACAGAATTGTAGAATCATTTAGATTTTAAAAGACCGCTGAGATTATCAAGTCCAACCATTAAATCTAGCTCCACCCTTTTCAACACTTAACCATGACCCCAAAGTGCCACATCTACAGGTTTTTGGAACACTTCAGGCCTGGTCATTCCACCACTTCCCTGGGCAACCTGTTCCAGTGCCCGACCACCCTTTCAGTGAAGAAATATTTCCCAGTATTTAATCTAAACCTCTGCTGGTGCAACTTGAGGCCATTTACTGTCATCTATTCACTTGTTCATTTGGAAGTACAGGCATCAGAGCATACATAATTTCTTACCACATATGAGAAAGGCTTTCAGCTTCTGATTTGAGCCAACACAATTTTTGGTCTTGTCATGTTCTAGAATGACAGTGAAAGTGTGGATGCTACAAATCTGAAAGGCCTCGGAGACAGTTCACAGAAAATCAAGAATTCACAAAATAAGAGAACAGGACGCACTAATCAGGTATGGTTTTTTCTTTCTTTCTTTTTTTTTTTTTTCCCCAAATAACTTCATGTAAGTTTGCAGACCTAAAATTCAATGTCAGTAATTGGCTGTGATAACACAACCAAGACAAATATTTTAACAAAATTTGAATTTCATTTGAAGTGTATAAACTGACAGAGAAGTGAGTTCTGTTCTCAAAAATACATCTAGGTAAAAACATGTTAAAATATCAGGATGTATAGGGTTCAGAAAAAATGTATTCTTTTGTCATAATGTCTTCATACAAGATACAAAAGAGGCATGAGAAATGGTAGTCAGAGGGAATACTGTGGACATGGAGTTGACATAGAACCATTTGCTCATGAGAAGGTAGAAAAGGAGAATCTTTAAACAATGGGTTTAGTGATACAATCTTTCAGTCTGACAGAGAATACATATTATTAAATATTTAATAATAAATTCAGTAATATTTAATTATTAAATGAACATCCAAAATAGGGGAAATTTCAGACAAACATAAAACTGGGACAATAGCTCCAGTGTAAAACTGACCAGACAAGGAAGAAAAAAACACATTACAGACTACTTTAATAATAAAAATATTCATTTTGGCTTCTTTTAACTGTATGTTTGTTTAAACCCAGACAGTGAGTAGCTCACTATGAAAACATGAGAGTCAGGTTAAAAAAACCCACAGGTGTTTCACTAGAGTCTAGCATTAACATTTTCACATCCAGTTCAGAAATAAACTTCTATTCTAAATGTTCCATTATGTTGTAATCATATCTACTTGCCAATTTTGGTGATGGTACTTGAATGAGCACATAAGAAATACCTGATGCAGTGGTAGTAATTTCTATCTTCCATTGTTTTTTCTGGCTATAATCAGAGGCAGCAAAAGCATGCTGCCAAAGTAATGCCCCTGATATCAAAGTTAAAGTAATTCCACATATACAGTAGTAGAAAGGATCACTTGGAGTGTTCTGATATGCAGTCCTGGGAACTAGACTGGGATCTGAGATCTTAGGAGAGAAAGGTTGTAGACGATACCTATAATTTTCTCTTCAAAAAAAAACAGAAAAAAGGAAATTTTTAAAACAAAAAGAAAAAAAGGACTTTCAGAATTGATTGAAACTGTAGAAAATTGGAGAAAATAGTGGCAGTCAATGAAACTTGATTTTTATCAGAAAAACCAATTTCCAACTGAAAGACTCCATCTGAAAGCATTCAGCCTCTACTTGGTGAAAGTTTAGCAGAGATGAGTATACCCACATTGACACTTTCCCAGGCATACTGTGACTGATGCATAAAATTTATTTTGAGGGTCTGCAGCATATGGATTTTGCTCGAGCCTAGCTGGCAGAAGTCTATAAGCTCCACACAGCCCTTGGGTTACCCTCAGCAAGGGTCAACACTCACCAAGAGCCAGATCTGATATTATGTTTGTCCACTAGAAAAAAACAGAAGAAGAAAAGGGGTTTGGATCCATTCTCCATTTTCCTTGTGTATCTGCCTAGTTTCACACAAAGTCGTCTTTTATTTCAGATTTTCTGAACACCTTTTAATGTCAATGTAGGAAAGTACTTGTGACTGTAAAATAGTGACATAATAATATTCTGAACATATTTAAATACATTGTAAAAAATGTGAAAATATTTGGATTGATTTTTTTTAATTGAAATACTTGAAAGGAAAAATAGGTTATATTCTCAAGACAAACCATATATTTCACAAAGTCAAAGAGCCAGAGCCCAGGCTGTGGGTGATCGAAGCCCAGGGAGTATGCAGTGGCATGGGGGAAAGTGATGGGGGAGCGTGGTCTGGCCTTGTCAGCACGTGAAGTAGGGGAACTGGGGATGGTGGTGGGGATGAAGGAAATACCTGGAGGACATGAGCTTCAGGCTGTAACTGGGAGAATGGACATAGTGCCAAAGAGAGTATAGATGCCTGTAAATGTGAAAGCATGGCTCTTCAACACAGAGGGATGGGACTTTCCTGGTTTATAATGTAGGTTCAAAAATCTTTGAGAAACACTTCTGTGCAACAAACCCCAAACTTAAGCCCAGGAATAAACGATATTTACATACTATCAGCACTCTTTGTCCCTCAGGTGACAAGCCTAACTCCTGCAACCACTGAGAAGAGTTACTGCCAGTTACTAAAAATAATAGCAACTTAGTAGGCATTTTTCAGGTTTGCTTTATCTCACAGTCAAGACGAAAGAGAGAAACAAATTGAGTTTAGCAAAAATCAGCCATAAGTAGCAGTGCAGCTTCACAGAGCTACACAACTCTTCCACACGCACCCCTCCAAAAACTGCAGTCAAGAGGAGCAAGAGACTCCTCTTTGTGTCAGGCTCAGCTTTCCCTAGGGGAATGAACAGCAGCTTCCACATATATACCGCTCCACTCTCTCCATGTTTCAGATCATTCAAAGTCTGAAGACATTTGACAGGCTGACAGTGATGAGGTTGTTCAGCTGGGAGAAGAGAAGGCGTTGGGAAGATCCCACTGCGGCCTTTCTGCACTTAAATCTGGCTTCTAAAAAAATGGGGGAGAACAACTGTTCATAAGGGTAATGATAGGACAGTGAAGAAGGGTGGGTTTAGATGAGGTATCAGGAAGAAATTATTTACTATGAGGGTGGTGAGGCACTGGAACAGTTTGCCCAGAGAAGTTGTGAATGCCCCATCCCCAGAGGTGTTCAAGGCCAAGCTGATTGAAACTTTGAGCAATCTGATTTAGTGGAAGGTGTCCCTCCCCATGGCAGGGAGGTTGGAACTAGATGATCTTGTGGTCCCTTCTAACATAGGCTGTTCTAAGACTGTGGTTCAAATCTTTTCCTAGCAACTATCTGAGGGCTTTCCAGGACTTCCGGCAGCCCCTGCAGCAGGAAATCCAGACAGAATGCAGGGGCCAGGGCAAGGTCTGTGGTGGGCCTTGCTTTCCACAGCAGATTGGGGGATGGAATTAGAGACAACAGTGACAGAAAAAGAAAAGGTAAACCTACTTGCAGATTGCCACTGTTCCAAAAGTGGCTGGGGGTACTGTGGGCCGCTCCTCTCAAGAGGGTAGAACATGTCCACTCGATCAGGCACCCTGGTGGTGGCCGGGCACTGTGGGGCAAGCAGCTGGTCATGCTGCCCTGCCACAGCATTCAAAGGAGGAGGGACGAGCGTGGCACCCAGGGCCCAGCTGGGTACACCGCTGTCTGAATGCAATGGTCACCTACCCTGGGTCATCAGCCCGTCCGTAGGCCCCACCATGAGCATGGAGGGCTGTAGCTGTAGGACAGGGGCTTTCCCTGTGCCCTGCTGGACAGTGATGGGGGAAGTAACGTAGTGTGGGCTTGGCAGCCCCCATGGGTGTGCCAAGGAGTTTGGGGGAGTTGTGCTGCTCCTGGCCACCTCAAGACAGTCTTCAAACAGGGTGGATGTCAGCCTGTAGTTGCTCAAAAGCTATAATGTGGCCAGGCTTACGTGGATTCAGATAGCAAAAATCTATTTTCCAGATGAAAGTGCACTATCTGGCCAAATTTTGTGTTTCTGCTTCAAAGCCTGTGGATGATAGCTCTCTTTAAAAGATTGTTAGTTATTATCCTTTCAGAGCAGCTTTTCTTAGGAGAAAATCTCTTCGCTTAGTTAAATTTTTTAAACAGTAAGCTTCTCTCAATTTAACCATTATCTTTACACAAAAGTTCCATCCATATTGAAGTTTGGAATGTCTACATGAGGTGCTGGGCAAGCCGGCTAAATAGCAGCTCTGCTGTCCCTACCTGCTGCTCTGCAGCTCTTGCTTTTTGCCTCTCTGCAGTGGTACTCTGTATGGGACCCCACCCTCTTCAGCTCTGAGTAACACTGGTATGTCTTCCCCCTTTTATTTCCCTTTTGAAAACGGTGCGGATGGCTTGAGAACGTTCACAGCTAAACACTAGGTTTGCCTGATACTGGTCACAGAGTTGGTGGCAGACAAGAGAGCTGGAGCCATGCACACAGTGCAGACTAGAAACTTGAAACTGCTTCAGCAATGTGCCAGTTGGGATGTTTTTTATACCTTGTTTAACAAGCATGCACCCCTCTCACGACCTCAGCATGGATCTGTTTTCCAGGGGGACGAATACATCAATATTGAGAGTGATCTGCTTGAAAACAAATGTGCCTCAGTAGATGATGAGCAACCACGCTTGAAAGGGTATGCATTACAAATGAGTAAGTTTTGCACTCACTTCATCCTGGCCTAAGCAAAAAGCTGCTAGTGTTTCTGCTTCTGGAGTGACAGCTCTAAATTTCACTGCCATACCCCTATGCTGCATATATGTTTGTATCACCTAGCAATTTGTGTAATACAGGAACACAGCATGTTTAAAATTATTATACCTTACAACTGACGTGGGTGATTGTGGAATTATCCTTTTAAAACTTTGCAAATTAAAGGAGCAGTATTTTTAATTTTTGTACAATAACTACTTTCCAGCATTTCCATAACAGTTTTTTAAAGTAAGGTCTCTTTAAAACACAGTTAAACAGTGGTCTCTTTCAGAAAGTTAAAGATTCACTATTGTCTTTCAGTTTGCATAGTCATTTACCCTCATGCAAAATAAGAACAGAACAGCTGTGGGAAAAGCCATTTTGATGGAGCAAAATTATTACACTTCCTTTGCATTGTTTCCAAGTGACCACAGAGCAAAAACATACATCTACATTTTACTCGAGGATTACGTTTTTTGATTTTTTGCCTTTTTTTTTTTTTTTGAGAAAACAAGAAACCCTCTATAGAAGATACAATACTTAAAATTATATTTTGATGTAGTTTTCTTGTATTTTTTTTCTCTCATGCTGAATCTTCATTTGTGTTATTATCTTCTGTCAATGACAGATAGTACTGAATAGCCTGTGGTCTGAGACAACCCCTTTGAAAGATCGGTCTATTGATAACGATTCACTACAAGTGCAAGGTGTTAACATTCACTTCTGGAGTACATGTGCAATAGAAAATAGATTTCTGAGTTGCAAAATGCAAACAAGAATAGTTTTGGCATAAACAAATATTTCATACTAATGTGCTTAAGTGAGATCTGTTTTTTCAACATCTTCGGTTAAGTAAAAGCCATCAGAAATGTGTTGCATTTCAAGACTCAAGGATCAGCTTTTAGGAAATAATATTTCCTTAGTAAATTAACCAGATTTCATAAGGAAGATTTTTTTTCTGTCTTCTTTCAGAAGGGAGCTGCATATTTATGACATATGTCTGGATATTTAAGATCTTTTGGTGCCAAAAGACCACCAAAGTGATAATAGCCTAAATTAATAAAACAAAAAGTAGATATATTAAAGCAAATAAGAGATTACAAGAAATTCTAATCTGAAAGTAACAATTTTAAATCCCAAAGGACTCATAAGTAGCAGTAACAGATAGTAGATATTATTTTTTTTTCTCTTGGTTGGTAAATGAGCCATAAATTTCATAAAGTAATTGGCTTTGTCATGCATCTGTCTCTCATTTCTCCTTTTTTTCTTTTTCTGTTGTGTCTAACCTCTCTGCTGAGATTGGATAGATAACCTAATGTTCTTATAAGTTAAAAAAAAAGATGCTGTGATTTGTGAAGCAACAGGAATTCTCAGAACTAAACTTGAAACATCAAAAGCAATCACAATTTCTGAGAGATTGTATAACACTTTTACTGCTGAAGGCAAGTGTTCCTGCTCTATTATTTTGAATGCTGGTATGAATTAAATTAATATTACTTATTCCACCCGAAATTAATTTAAATTTAATCAATTTTGTTTTAAGTGCAGAAAAGAAGGGTATTTTTTAATTTTGGTATGCATCAAACTCCAGCTGCATCTAGTTTCCAAACAAGTAGAGTCTGGATAATTAGTATTTCTAAATATAATGTTGCTTTTATAGAATGAGGGTGTGAGACACTGCTTCAGAGATGTCGTTCTAAAGCAGTGCCTCTGAGATGACAAAGGTACAGCTGTGATTTCTTTTTCAGCTTGCACAATATGAGGATGTTTATGTAGCTACAGCTTTCATAACTGAAATACATCTGTATCATCAGCATACTTATAATTGGAAATCTGTGTTGAATTAACTCCATTAACTGCTATTTCTCTAAATTTCAACCTCCTTCATGAAATCACTCTGTGTTACGTTTATTGAGGTGAGGAAATAAAGAAAGTGAAACACATAATAGTTGGAAGAACTGATACTAGAGCAGGATGTTCAAATATAACATAATTTTAACTTCCATGAGCTGATGAGGTGAAAAGTTAATGTAATTCACAACCAAATTTTCAAAAATCCAGAAACATCTATGCCTACTGTAATAAGGTTTTAGGTGGATATTGGTTATTTTACACAAAAAAAAAATGCAGCCTTAGGCCTTCACAGTTGTGGCAACCCTACTGCTCCACATAGTAGTGCTGGGCCAGTTGTATTAACAGACTTCATGGGTCTATTAATGGGCCCAGAATCTGTACCTACCTTAACAGACCTCTTCACAGAACTGCTGCACATCAGGGGCTAGTGGAACTGGCCTGCTGACTTTGACCTACTGTAATTAACGGATTGTCCAGTTAGATTTCTGCCATATTTTCTTTTTTACTTGTCCAACATCAATCCAAAGAAGTCTCGCTCAAAGGGCACAATTTTGTTTGACACCCGGGGAGCCAAATTTAACCATTAACAAGTTCCAACTGCAGTGGAGAAATTTTGACCAACTTAACCCAATTTTCTTCTGCAAAAGCTTACATTTTCTGTTCTTCATTATTTTTTTCCTATTTTTCTAGGCAATTAGAAAAGAACTATGATAAAATCTGTGAATTTTACAAGAAACATAAAATCAGAATTCGGTATGTGATCTATGGAATTTTAATGACAGGTACAGTATATATTACACTCAGGGTTGCTGAAGTTTTATTTATATGTGTGCTGGTTTAAGAGTTAACCAGCAGGGGAAATGAACTCAACTCAAAGGAGAGATTATAAGTCAGAATAACAATTTACTAAAATAATACAGTAAGTACAATCATACAAACAAACAATTGGTCTTAACCCACAAAACCCAAATGTATAACCCAGTACCCTGGGGCATGAACAACGTGGTGTTCCTTGGGCCCCGCTTGAGTCCAAAGTAAAGGGAGAGGGGAAGAACCTGCTGGTGGGAGAGCTGTTGCAGTCTGGTCAAAGTGGTGATTGGAGTCCAGTATAGGGTGGTGATCCAAGTCTGTTTGAGAGCGATGAGCCGCAGTCCTTCTCTGGATCCCACAGAGTGGTTGAAAATGTTCCAAGACTCCAAGATTATATATCCTGCAGTTCAGGCAGGAATGCTCAGCACTTCCCTCAGGGCGGGGAGTTCCACAAAGGGTGTGAGGACAGGAGCATCCTCCTATCTCACAGGCCTCTTAACACCTAGTTTATAGCCTGAGGAGTCAGGCTCTATGGGCAGATGGTGTAAATGGTTCATTGATAACAGTTTCTGGGAAATGGCATGGAAGGCTATAGAATACACAGTTTTGGGTTACACCCATACCCTGATGAACTGGTCTCAGTTGTCCTAACTAGGACAATATGCCTGCATGAGATTATAGGCTGTGCTTGTCTTCTATCTGACACAAAAAACTCTTGTCTGTCTTTAAAAACGCATTTCAAAGGAATTAAAAGTGAATTTAGTACCAGAAAAAAACTACAGATTGCAAAACTTCCTCTCATTTCGAAACAAAACCCACAAATCTTGCTAAACTGCTCCTCTGGCATGTTTCCACTCTGACTAACAATTATGTTCGTGATAGCAGGATAGTTAAGTCTTTATGTCTACTCCACTGCCAGCTGCCTCCAAAATTACAGTTTCAGGAACTTGCCCAAAACTATGAAATCACATTAAAGAAAAGAGTCAGGCACCAAACAGGACTAAACTTAAGTCAGTAGGAGTTTTCTTTTCTGACCTATATCATTCAATGTCCGCAAAAAATGTTTTTCAGAGGAAATGTGTTTATGACAGCATGCACTGAAGAATCATTCAGATATTCTTTCTCTCTTTCCTAATTAGCCAGTAGGTTGGTTTGTTTCACCAAGTTTGTTTTTGTGATTTTCTTACAGAACTGAAACACATTGGTGAGGTAGGCACCAGCATACCAGAAAATGGTTATAAAAGCACTGTTTGCATGCTGTCTTCATAACATCAGCTTTTCTTGCTTTGTCATAGTACAGGCATGTTATGGCTCAAGAGTACAAGTGGGTGCTAAGGATATGTCAGGGTTACATATAGTAATTACACAAAAAAACAACTTGCCTTACAAAAATAAGTAGTCTTTCTTCCTTATTTACCATAGACAAAATCAAATTATTATTTACAAGAACTGAATATTTCTTTGGCCAGCATATATCAGCAATGAGACTGCCAAATGACAAATAATTTCACAGCTTTTTTTAAGAAGTAAACTTCTCTTTTAAGCTTCACTTTTAAGACTTAATTCAGAGGGCCATCAAATCAGTCAATGTACATATTTCCAGGGTTTTTTTCTAGTTTTATTGGATACAGTCATTCTCTTATGAAAGAAGGAATGAGACTCATGCTCTTAATTCACAGTTTTTACACAGGAAAAAGAGGTTCCGTGTTTTTCTTTGTATTTAATTTTCTCAAGTGGTTAACATGTTTGATATGAACTTGGCCAAAGCATATAATCTTCTCTAACAGAATGAAAGCCATCTTTCATATCGTGAGCATACTGCATCACCATTTACAAAAGCAAAAATTTTTCAGTATGTCGGCAAAGAGTCAGAAAAGCACTGAAAAGATCAACATGGGCCTGACTTTAATCACATCCTATAAATTTAAGATTTGATCCTTATGATTTGTTTTCAAAAAGACCAACCTAACGGATATGTATATTCTTGTTTCTGTGACAGCATACTTGGCAATACTTATTGCAGCCTGCAGCTTGAAATTTCAGAGAGCCTTGCCACTCTTTATCATCACTGTTGTGGTCACATTCTTCATCTGCTGGGATTTTTTAATAGCTAAGTATGAAGACAAAATTACTGTATTCTTTTCCCCTGGAGAAAGATATCTGAAAAAACAGTGGTTTTGGCTGAAATGGTAAATATTAATTACTTTCTATTTTTGTAGAAAAACAATGCATTAGTCAAGTTACTCCTATAGTTTTATTTCAACTTACACCCACAGGGAGATGGGTCAATCATACAAATTTCAATAAGATCACAGAATAATTCATATTTTCCAGTATATGGATATCAGACACACCTTTAAGTTTGAAATGCAGTAGCTAGGTATCGAAAATCTTGACATAAAGTGTACAAAAATACCAAAGATTGAGATAGGACAAGTTTGTAGTTGGAAGAGAATACATTCACAGAAGTTCAGGTATGTTGCATTCACTCTGCAGGCCAGAAAGTGCCTCACTGTCATTTGTTTGGAGAACTGTTAGGTTCACAAAAACCTTAACTCTAACATATGCAGACTGCTAATGACTGGAGCGTGTTACCTAGTCACTGTTTTTCCATGTATCCCCATAACAATTTTTACTTGGCCTTCAGGAATCAAAACATGCCAGTCACAATCAGTGTCATAATAAGGTCATATAACCTTAATTTGGGATGGTAGACATTCATCTGGCAGATAAATGGTAGATAATTAAATCTGGCAGATGCTTATTTCAAGTATTCCTGAGCACGTATCAGGAATGTTGAAGTTATCCCTGGGAAAATGAGGAGCCAAAGGAGCCTTGTAGACTGAAAAAAAGACCACATGAAATATCATTAAAAAGGAAAAGCAAACTGGCCAGCTGCATTCTATTTCAGCTAGGTTACTTTCTACCTGAGAGAGAAAGAACTCTAAGGTGGAGTCATTCTCAGTTCAGGAAAATGTCCCATCTTATTCTCAAGATTTAAAAGTGGTTTTGCTCAGAAAGGTGCTATAAAGATTGTGATCCTTCTGCTCAGGAGTCACATTAGAGATCAGTCACAGAGACACATGTCCATTAGGCAATCTGGCAGCCTCTTTGGGGGAAGGAGCAAAAGGAACAGGAGAGCCCCAGGTAGCAGATGGAACAAACTGGGGGCAGTAAAGTGCTGTATTACCTGGACTGCAATCCATATCACAGATTAAGTGCTTAACCATATTCCTCCAAGAGACAGAAAATCTCTCAGGTGTAGAAAGTGCTATTCAGCTTTGCAGTGGCCAAGTTATTTTGTGGAGTTAGCCTGCAACGTTTTTTAATCAAGGTCTAAAAATGGATTTTGGGTGTCCATTTCTGAAATCAGTGGAAGCTAACTGTTAGACACAAGTAGCATTAAAAACTTTGGACTGTGTTTATTTTTTCCCTCTATATATGGGATGATGTATTTTGCTGCCTTTCAGGCTGTCATTGTGGTAATTACCTTCAATAAATAAGTTGAACATGGTTTTGTGATAGTAGGGACCATAGAAACACTGAAACACAGATGTACACATGGCTCTCATCATTGTTTCTGATACAGCTTAACAGACTACATCTGGTTACAGAGAAATAAACCATTTATAACCTGCTCCTCGATAGTGTTCTTCATAGACTTGCCAGTTAAATGGCACGGTGCAATTTGTCAAAACCACAGCCTGTCTTGCCCAGAGCTAGGGAAAGATTCAACAAAGGAAAGGAAGGAAGGGAAAAAAGAGGAGGATGGAGTGAGAGAGGAAGATAGCACACTTCGTTTAATAGAAATAACATCCAGACAAGAATCACTCATGCTTTATTGAATTTTCCTCTGGGTTTTTACTCTGGCTTGAGGAACCCTATTGGAGGACGCTTCTTTGGGATGCTACCAAGTGATGTTGTTGTTAGAGGTGCATCAGCAAAGGCATATTCCTGCTTGTGTAAAGCCATATGTTTCAGTCTACAACATTGCACAGAGAGTTCATTCACAAACAGAAATGTAAGTGTTGTGGGTAGGGAAAGGGAAAGGAATATCTGGTCTTTTTCAGGATGTCATGATGCTTTTTTCCCCCAGGGTGTTGCGTGCAGCTCTTATTATAACTGTCATCTGCTGGCTCATCTTTGACACAATGGAACAGGGATCCCGCCAGCTAATCTCCTTTGGTGGGCTTGTGATGTATGTTCTCCTGATGCTTATCTTTTCCAAATATCCAACCAGAGTGAGTATTTAGTCCATGCTGGCTCTTCTGGGATTTTTTTATTCAATGTCTCAAAACCTGTTCCCCTACCCGAGCACCAAGTTTAGTAAGAGTAACAGATGCTTACTAAAATTTAAGTAAAAATTTAGGCTTGCCCCCTACCAAGTGATGTATTTAATTTCTGAGGCACATAATTTTGCTCTTGGTGAGTATGTGAGGGGCTGTACCAGCATCTGCCTCTCATTGTTTTGGGAAGCTGCTGCCCATCTTTTATTCCAGCTCTGTTGCGGGTTGGAACACATTTGCTCCTGGAGAGGTAGGCCTTCTCCACATTTTCACCCACAGGAGCCTCACCACAGTCCTCTGGACATGACAGGTACTTATTTGAGGACACTAATTAACATAAATTGCATGGAACTGAAGACACGATTGCCTTGTATAGCTCTTAATCCCTCACAAGTTTGCTTCCCACTGCAAACTCAAAAACTGAGGCCAAGTGGAGGTCTTCACTTCTCACTCACCTGTTCCCATAGGCTGGTCAATGCCATTTATTTTAATCTTCCATCAGAGATGACCACTCTGTTCTGCTGTGGTATTACAAAGGGCTTAGTTCAGTCACCACAACTCCCACCTCAGCTTGTACTCCTGTGTGCATGCCTCACATACCAGTTCATGCTTTTGTCAGTCATATATCCACTGTCCAGGTCATGAAGTTTCACTGACACTTTCCACCCTTCTTGCATCAGTGCTGAGACTTCCTTAAAGGGTGAAGTCCTCTCAGCAAGGACTAATGAAACTGTCCTATTCTCTGCAACTGCTGCTATCTCCAGCTGAGGTGCAAACTACTCCAAATGCATTGTGCTCTCCCATGAGTCCTCATTGCACCTAATTGATTTGTATTATTCAAATACAATCTGAGTAAATTAGAATGCCATTTCAACTCCTTGTCTTGTAAATAATTTGACCAAATTTTCACAAACTGAAGATGTTTTCTGAGGCAGCAGAGCAGGAATCTTCAGTGTAGTGAACTGAAGGAAGGAACTGTAGAGGAACTCGTCACAGGCAGCCACAGTTTTTCTTACAACTGCCTTTATATGATGAATCACAATATAAGACTGAGTAGTTCTCAAGTATCAAAAGTCTTTTAAGCTGGGAAACAGAAACAGAGTTGAAATTACCCAAGGACAAACCCTGTAACAAAATCTCCTTATTCTCTGTCCAGGTATGTGAAGATCCAAGTCCATTACAGCCTGGTTTAGCAGCTGCTCCTATCCTACAGTATAGTCAGACAATCCCCTTGCCTTATTTTAATAAATGCCTGAAGTAAATTATTATTTATTTAAATAACAAACAGTTTCTTTATTTTTTTGTCTATCTAGGTTGCTTGGAGACCAGTACTTTCAGGAATAGGAATGCAGTTTATTCTTGGGCTTCTTATTCTGAGGACCAAAGTGGGTTTTGATGTATTTAACTGGCTAGGCATTCAGATCCAGGTAAGCTATTGGGCAAAATCCTTACTTTTTTTACTATAATTTTCTGTCTTGAGACTCTTACATAACAGTCAGTCTTTTCAAGGATCTGTTCCCTCCTGAATATTTTCTCCTCTTAAGGAAGACTGGGTTCTCAGAATGGTAATTGACTACCTGAATTCAACTTTCTCTTTTTTTTTGTCCAGTTAATACAAGCCTTTCACTGGGGGACAGGCTGATGAGTAATGGCCAGAATGACCCTATTACTTAATGGATTTATCATCCTTGAAGTTAAAACTTGCATCCTTAAAACATAAAACCACTGTTGTGCCAGGGCACTCATAGAAACTCTTTAGATGTGGCCCAACTCCAAAGCACCCTTGCAAATAAATGTGACATGCTGAAAAGCCTTGAAGTTTAAGGCAGAACCACTGTTGTCTTCAGAGTAGCAGCAGTCCTGGCATGAGGGACATTTCATAGTCCTCATGATATACAAGAAAATTAATTTAACTACGTACAGGTGGCAAAATCCACATCTGCAAGCAGAAAAATATCTCTAGAGAGTGGATGGGATCTGTCTGTAGGTATCCCTGCAGACATAAAGTTTTTTTAAAAAGCCTATTACTGTAAAGTAATGAATATCCGAAACGTAGATCAGAGAGTACCCACTGAAGGACATTCAGACTTTTCACCCCAGGGATACTCTTCTCACAGCTGCTCTTCACAGGTAATTAAGCACATGTAAAGCAAGACAGTGCAGAATGTACTGTCTCTCTGTGGAAGCAAAGGCACAGGTCTGACGTCTGTCTAATCTGCAAGCAGTGGGAGTCATCTGGGTTTTGTCACCAGGTTCTCAGTCTCTAACTGAAGCAGTTCTGGTGCTCCCTTTCATTAACGTCATATGGCTTACGGTTGCTCCTGTCAGAACTCATTACTATAGCTGTTATAAACTGTACTTTAACTCCAGTTTAAACTGTATCATTAATGCATATGTTGGCATCAGGAGTATAAAAACATAACACTGGATCTAAATTAAAAAGTAGATTTCTTTAGGTTAGCTTTTAGGTACTCCTTCCAAAACTCATTGCTTCAGCCATTAAATCTCTATTTTAAGCTGTATCATTTTTGCACTTACTTGCATGATGGAGCATAAAAATGCACCACAGTGTTGGGATGAAAAAATAAATGTTTCTTTTAGTTTACCTTATGGCCTCTATTGTGTTGGGTACTCAAGGAATTCGTGCCCTACACCCTTGCCATTTGCCTATATACCCTGAAGGAGACTGCACTCTTACTAGAGCAGGGCAGAGGCCCTCAATTCAGCCAGACTCAGTCAATGAGGCCTGGATTCATATAGAGCACAAGCTCCTTGGACTTCACCGGATCTCTGCAAGACAGCTAGCGATATGTGCTTAGTTTTTGGCAGGTTCCAAGAGCTTATGGCTAATTTCCTTTGCTTTCTGTCCTTAGACTTTTCTGGAGTACTCTGACACAGGTGCCAAGTTCGTGTTTGGTGAAAAATATAAGGATCATTTCTTCGCTTTTAAGGTGAGACAGTTTTTATACACCCTGCATGTGGCAGACAGACAACAGAAAAAAGGAACAGTATAGCTGGGAAATAAATTTATTATATGTCTTGTGGTACCTGCGTAGTCACCAGAGGAATCAGCTAAGAGGAAAATTGTTCCTTACTATGTGACATTCTGAATAGAAAATTTGGGAAGCCCACAGGAAGCCTTTCACTTAGTGCTATACACTGAGTTAGATAGCACTTATCTAGTCCAATTATAACAACATATATTGCATGTAGACAGAACCTTGGGATATCTTTCTACAAGGAATAGCTTAAAAGGCTTTACCTGGCTACTGACAGAAATATTATCTCCGGCCTATCTTTCCCATCTCTCCATGAGTAAAAGTGCTATACCATGCTATGTTGTCATCCTTAAATGCTGTGTAGAACAATGTCTTACAGACATTGCCCCCGCAACAGTGGAAAGCCTTGATATATATTTATATATACCTGGTAAAAGAGATAGAAGCTCCTCTTGCATAACCAGGAAGAATTACATTACATTGTGCTATTATTACATTAGTAAGATCCCAGGGAGATTTCCCAGTTCTCTCCCTTAGAAGACCTTGCTGGGAAACTGCTGGAATACAGTTTGTATGCTCTGTGCTCTCTAATCTGCACCAGCATCCTTCCCGGTTTTGCTTCAAGAAGTAACCCATGCCATAATACCTGCTTAGGCTGGAATCAAAAACATATAAAACAAAAAAAAACGCAAACCAACCCCAATAAAAAAACAAACAAAAAAACTCCCAAACACGAGCAATTAATCAATACTTACTCAGAGATCATTCTTTTGATGTTTCAGAGACCTGACCATGGGCTTACATTATTTTCACACTGAAAGACACCAAGAAAATAAAACTCATGAGTTGATTTTCAGAGCTGCATATGTCTAGGAATATATATATATGGTAAACAGAGTGGCAGACAAGTGCACAGCAATACCAAAACATCCTCCATCTGTTCCTTCTGTAGAAAGGGAATTCTCTCTTCCAGTGACAGTGAGCGACAGCCAGCCTATTCTCTCTTGAAACACTTTTCATTTATTTACACATTAAGATGGTCCAAAGTGCTTTTTTTGTGTCTTTCAGATATTTTGTGAGGTTTGCATGTTACTCTTGAGCTCTCCAAATCTTGCCACAAGATATTTCAAAGCATCCTTCAAAAAAGAAATGTCTCAGTATTGGCTTAACTCTTGAGAGAGTAGACAAGGGATAGGGTATGTCTTCGCAGAAAACAGAGTCCAATTGTATCCATACTGTATCCTTAACAGTATGCAGGGACATATCAGTTTTTGCTAACTTAGGTGGACATTGTTACCAGAGCAGACACAGCCCATATGTGCATATGCACACCCGTATGGGTGTTCAGGCCAGCACCACTAGAACCTTTGAGTACCTGGTTCTGGAAGCACTAATTAGTCATAAATGCATGAATTCACATGTATAAACTGGGTTATTTTAAACGGATATTTGTGAATGTAGACACAGAGTTTCAGAGTTCTGAAAAAAAACCACACTTGCCCACATAACCAAGCACACCCAAGTACTTAAGCAGTTGGAAAACCCCTCTTAGTATTAAGTCATCTATCCTGTTGACTATGAAAGGCAAAGTTTGCTTCGAGCAAGCAGGAAATAAACTTCCTTTCTGCACCAGGAGGATTATGGCTCCCTGAGAAAGGCTTTGCTTTGAAGGTCAAGTTTTAGGAGTGTATGAAAGCAGGATGTTCCTTAAACAACACTAGTAACTTCTTCTTTTAAGGAAAATAAGAAAAAAGACGAACACCAAGCCACAAATGGGAGGGGGATTTGAAAGCAGCCACCAGTTTTAACTCCCTGCTCTCCATGTAACATTCATTGTAACCATGATCTGGAAAGTAGTTCTTTAGTAAGGTCAAATCTTACTGCAGAATTGACAGTAAACAGGAAATAATCCAGTTCATAAAACATACTGATTAAAGAATTTATTTTCTTAGAGGTTGTATTTTGGGAAGCACAAACTGTAACATTTGTAGGTCACATAAATGTAATTCTAAAGAGCTCTTTGATTACCATTCTCCATTGAAAGGCTGTGCGATTTTTCAGAGTGCTCATTAAATGTATTCATCCATTAAAACTTGACTATTTAAAGGTATGTAGTACGTATCAGGAGCTGTACATACTGAAGACTAAACTTCTACTTGAGTTAGTTCACAGAGAAAAATGCAATTGTAACATTTTAAGCAAGCAGTTATAACTAAACTACAGGACCCATACAGAAACGTGCTAGACCTTTTGGAGGAGTCGGCTTCTGCTACAACTAAGGTCCATCTGATTTCCTGGTCATACTTTTTTTTTGCAGTTCTCTTCTCATTTTCTCTCAAAGTTGACAGCTGTCTCCACCTGCAGGTTGTAATGGCGTGTGTAGATGCAAATTAAATGTGAATTTTTTCATGGCAGAAGCAAGTGGAAGACAACCCCATCATGAGCCCCTGTTCAGAGTAATCATAACTTTGAGGTAGACTTCATGTTTTATAAAGACAAGTGCTTTATCCAGGAATGACTCCAACCACAAAACTGGAAAAGCGTGTTCTAATGTTATCTAAAATATTTTCAGAGGAATGTGGAGAAGGCCAAAGGATGCCAACTGTCACCCAGTGTTGGCAGAACATTGTGTTCTCTCCCCTTCCGCTGAAACAAAAACACAGCTCTCAAACTCGAGAGCTTTTGCTGTCCATTTAGCTTGAAAGATGGGAGGTCACTCACAATTTTTGCCATCAATCAACTAGAGAGAGTTGACCTTTGCCTATCTGCCCGCTGTTTCTCCAGACCCATTTCAATACACACATTGCATCAGGATACACACGTTGTGCCAGGATATGGATCTGGCTGGGAGTGAGATGCCTCTTTGGTTAGCACAGGCCTAGAAACAGTGAAGGGAAATGGCAGAAGAGAAAAGGCAAGGGAGAAAGATATTACTTTTACTACACTAAACTTTCTGCTATTACTGCATGACAAACTATCCTGAGAGGATTGCAAAAAGGATCAGAGAATCAAACTAGAGAAAGGAGCCTTTTATTAATTTATTGAACAGCACAGTGACAGCGGTTAATTGCACTCCATCCTTTCAATGAAAGGTTCTGATCATCTAAATCGAGTTTCCAAAAATTTGTCAAGACTGTTGATAGTACCAACTCTCCTCTAGAAAGGCACAGCTTCTATTTACTGTGAAGTTCTGAAATAACGAAATGATTTGCTCTTTTTCGTTCTATTACTTGATTTTACGTTAAATGCGTTATGTCATTAGTGAACAAAAATGAAAGCTTCTTAGTCCTAGTGGTACTGTTCTAACTGTAACTAATCTGTCTTACTAATTTTGGATCTTTTGGGGGGATTTTTCTTCCTGCTGTATAGTAGAATAGCAGTGGTGAGGTCCTGTAATATGAGTTTTATTCAGAATGAAAACCCAATACATTTAATAACCCATCAGACAGTGGGTTAGGCATTCATATGATTCTTTTAAATTATATGTTGAAGGGAAACATTTTCCCTTCAGTCTCCAATGAAAGAGATTTATATTCACTTTTTGTATTTAGGAAGTATATACCTTTAAGCAGATTCTGTCTCTGTGTACAGTTAGAGAGTTCTTGAATATTCCACATTGGCATTACAACGAATAGTGTAAATACCACAGAATAAAAGAGGATTTTTCTATAATCTTTTATTGAAAGGCATCTACACAGGCTAAGGAAGCTGCCTTTGATTCTATGAAAACAAGTCAATTACAATTCCAATTGAAACCTCTTCAACTTTTGCTTACACAGCAATCTAAACTGTGTTTTTTAAAACACAGATATAGAGATGATGGTTGGGGTGGGGTGGGGTGATGGTTGATGAAAAACTCAGCATGACCTGGCAATGTGCACTCACACCCCAGAAGGCCAACTGAACCCCTGGCTTCATCAAAAGGAGCATGGCCAGTGTGTGGAGGTAGGTGATTCTCCCCATCTACTCTACTCTTGTGAGACCTCACTTGGAGTACTGCATTCATTTCTGGTATCCCCAACATAAGAAGGACATGAAACTGTTGGAACCAGTGGAGGGTAAAGTCATGAAGTTGATAAAAGGACTGGAGCACCTCCCCTACAAAGATAGGCTGAGAAAGTTGGGGCTGTTCTGCCTGGAGAAGAGAAGGTTACATGCAGATCTCATGACAACATTCTAGTGTCTGAAGGGGAAAAACAAGGAAGCTGAAGAGAGACTCTTTGTCAGGAACTGTAGTTATAGGACAAAGAGTAATGGGTACAATTTGAAAGAGGGGAAATTTAGGTTAGGTAGTATTAGGAAGAAATTTGTTACTGTGAGGGTAGTGAGATACTGTAACAGGTTGCTTAGGTAGGTTGCAAATGTTTCAACCCTGGTAGTGCTCAAAGCCAGGTTAGATAAGGCCTTGAGCAACCTGGTCTGGTGGGAGGTGTCCCTGCCCGTGGGAGGGATGGTTGGGACTAGATGATCTTTGAGTTACCTTCCAACTCTTAACATTCTACGATGCTATGAGAAGTAGAGCTCTGAATTCTACAGCACGGTAGCATTGTACATATTTCTGTTAATGGTTTTCAAAATCGAATTTTTATATATCAAAGTCTTTGTAAATGCTATTGCCAAGTAGTGCTTGGACTGACCTAAACATGGTTATAAACTAATGTGTATCATGTTAAACCAAACAGTTTCAAAACTATTGCAGCACTGTTAAAAAACTATGTAGATAAATGAAAATTAGTTAATTCCAGCACAAACAACAAGTCTAGAAGGTTAACAATTTTATGGCATATGTGTAAGCTAAATGACAAGTTTTCCGTAACTGTAAGAACATTTTGAAAACATGACTCACTTTTTCAAAAATCAAATGGCCCACAGAATCAAGGAAAGGAAACCACTCTAAATGTGTTAATGATTTTGTGTCTCCAAATCAGGTACTGCCCATTGTGGTTTTCTTCAGCACAGTAATGTCTATTCTTTACCACATTGGATTCATGCAGTGGCTCATTGGAAAGGTATGAATTTTTGCCAGTAGGTACTCATTTGGCTACTGTGGGACACTTTTTGAACACATGCAGAGGAACTGTAGCATTGACCCTGGCCAAGCTGCTCAGGGGTAGACGTGAAAAACAGTTGTTATCTTTAACCTGGAAATATCATAACATGTCTCAGAAGTCTTAGATTGATACGATTAAATCTAGAAGTGCATGGAATAGGCAGATTAAATTTTTATTTCTTTTTTCAATCATTTTAGGTTGGTTGGATTATGCATGTTTTCATGGGGACAACACCTGTTGAGTCTCTGGTAGCTGCGGGTAACATATTTGTGGGACAGGTGAGTTGGAGTATAGAAAAAACATCATAACACAATATTATTGAAGGTAGTGAAATAGTGCTGTTCACTGAGCATCTGTGTATTAAAAAAAATTTCCTATGACTCCGCTACAGCAGTACTGATGGTTGATTACAAAATTCCAGTGTGTTAGTATGTTGACAGTAGTGCAAAATGGAGTGGAATTTGGAAACCATATGTTTTCCCAACAGAAAGTCAAGCATAAATGTAGGTTATAGATGTCCATTAAAATGACTACCAGGCTACGAAGGCTATGATAGCTCCAAGGCTATGAAGAAACAACAATTTCGGGTGGTTTTTTTTTAATTCAGAAGGCAAGTGGGATGAAAAGAAGGCATGCAAGGCAGGCAAGGACAGGAGAGAAAGACGATGCAGAAAACTAGGATTCGATGCTAGCAGTACAAGGCCTTAGCCATAAAAGCAGGAGGCAGCACCTAATAGACCACTTAAATAGGAAATCCATTAAACCCACATTTACAACACTGTCTGTCCCAGGGTTCAAAGTGAAGTAGAAAGATCACCAAGTAGAATCCAAGCCCAAAAGCAATATTAGCATGATATTTAGCAGTGGTTCGTCACTGCTCATTTTTCTGCCCTGATAATAAAATAAATTTATGGGCTTTTATTGGGAATTTCTGAATTTGATGCTTGTTTTTCACTTCCAGACAGAGTCTCCTCTTCTAGTGCGGCCCTACTTACCATACATCACCAAATCTGAACTCCATGCAGTCATGACAGCAGGATTCTCAACTATTGCTGGAAGCGTCTTAGGAGCATATATTTCTTTCGGGGTAAGACAGAGGAAAAGAACTGGAAAATATATGATTTGTCTGAAATCTTCTAAGTATAGAAGTCCAGCTAAAATGCTTTGAAAGTATCTCTGTGTCATTCCCACTGGGCTTTTTGTCCCTCTCTGAAGAAATTAATCATAAAAGTCCTGTCTTCTTTTCTTTATGAGCAATGTGAACTTTTTAATGAACCCTTGTAGAAAAATCATCTGAATGTCTGAAAATTGTAATTGCTTTCCTTCATGTTTGCACTTCATGTGGTTATCACAGAGTATTTTCTGTCACCTGGAATTCTAGGTTTCCTCCTCCCACCTACTGACTGCTTCTGTCATGTCAGCACCAGCATCATTAGCCACCTCCAAATTATTCTGGCCTGAAATTGAAAAGCCTCTGGTAACTCTGAGAAGTGGCCTACAAATGGCAAAAGGGTAAGCTGATCTAGGCTCTAGTTAATCCTAATATTAGTGCAAAAATGAGATTTGGAAAAATCACTGTTCACACATAAGCTTTAGGGGGACTACATAGTAGGTCTGCAAGCAATAAATTAATTACACACTAATATACTGCAAATGGTTGATTTGTGAATTCAGGTGTAGTGTGCCCAATGACAATGTAACATATGGAGGTGTCACATTCCGTCTGGACAGACAGTAAACTCTCCAGAGAAAGAGGGAAATGCCTACCTGAGGTGACCCACCAAGAGGTTTTCCCACTTGTGACATTGCTATCTTTCTTTTGTAATGAATCTGTTAGTGCAAACATGCAAAACCAAAGGTGGAGCAATCATTTCTGCAACATCAGCGAACTTGTTGCCCATCTGCAGGGAGACTTAACTGTCTTAAGAATGACAGGCAAAGCAAAAAGGCTTGTAAGAAGCTGTTCCTGAACAGCCCAGGCACCTCTGCAAGGGGTGCGTGTAAGAAGAGCAGTGACCACTCCCTCATCCTAGCAGTGCCACAGTATTAAGACCTGATCCATATCTTGCCCAACCCCGACCATGTCAGAGAATTCATCCTCAAGGCACCACAAACACATGCTTCAAGTGTCTGCCATGAAGATTGACAGCAAAAGCCTACTCCATCTCATCATTGTTTTCCCTATGAGTGAACAGATAACAGATAGACTTCTAACCAAGTGCACATACCCTTTAGTTCTATTATTTATTCTTGAATTGAAAAATGTTCATACTCTTGTTTTCTCTTCATTGACAAAGTGACTCAAAGAATCTGCTGGAAGCAGCCAGTCAGGGGGCCTCTACCTCCATCACTCTGGTAGCAAACATGGCCGTGAATCTGATCTCCTTCCTTGCCTTGCTGACGTTTCTTGACTCAACCCTTTCTTGGCTGGGCAGCTTGTTTGACTATCCACAGCTGAACTTTGAGGTATGGTCTCCAGGTTCCTCATGCAGCTCACATACACGTATAATTTATCTTACTCAAATAGCCTGTGTAGTTTTGTGATGGTTATTTTTCATTGTTGTATTGCTCTTTAATATGATCCAAACCCATATGTTATTTGTATGTACTGAAAGATGTCTTAACAGTCAAAGTAAAATTATTGCCATGTAAGTATTTCTGTAGCTATTACTCTATGTATAGTCTCCCTCTTTGGTGTTCTTGCTAACCCTCATGGTATGTTTACACAGAGTATGCTAACACCTACCTCCTCTGACTTGACAAAGCAGCAAATCTGTCAGGTACACACTGGATAAGCCATTAACATCTTCAGCTAAACATTAAAGTAACTTTAGCTTCAGAATCCCATCAAACCCTTAATGTTCATCAGGTTCACTTAGATGGGGACACTGGGACAAGGCTGGACTTGTATGAACCCACATTTACTCAATACCACTTAGTTTTCAACACAATCTAAAACTGTATCCAAGTCGCTCAGCTGAGCAAGCAGTTTTCAAATAGGACTTCTGTTTTAACCTAGGTCAATATGTCATTTTTGACTCAATGCAACCATCTTGTTCCAATGGTTTTGGGCATTTTGTTTTGCAAGACTCTAATAGAGCCCTGCGTTAAACATGGATATAACTTGTGATAAAGGTGCTGCAGAAGTGAATAGGCACTCAAAACAAATGTGGCTTCATTAATATTAAGATAGTACCCTGCAGAGCTTTCACAGATATCTCACTGCACAGACACTTACAATCAAGGAAAGGCTCTAGTACGCATGCCTCAGCCCTCGTGAAAGGACTGGTATTTTATTAACTGCTGGATAGTGTAAGATTTGGACAGGTAGATAGTCCACGAGGACCTGAGTTGCACAGACATGATGCATTCAGCCATCCTTCCCTTTTGAGAGACATTAACCTCTAGTCCTTTTAGGGTAGAGAAACCAGCCAGGAATAGGAACTGCTTAAAGACCTCTTTTACATTTGCTAAGGACTATCTGACCAAACCCTTTCACAGCTGGAGCTATTTTTGCTTAATATAAAAATAAGCTGTACTGCAAGATGGGATTTCTTTTTAAATTTGCATAATACTTTTAATGCCAGGAAAAAAATGGTACAGCTTTAACTGTGTCAGATGCACAGCTTTTATGCAGAGACAACTCTTCTGTTTACACCAGTTGGAGTCCAACCACCTGGTAATTAAGCACATTCATTAACATTTTTGATTTAATCAGGAGAAGAATTAGACTTCTCAGTTTCCTTATCAGCTCCTTTAACTCAATATTTCTTCTTTGCTTCAAACACCATGCCCAATTTAAAGCCATTATTGGGAAAAAAAGGCACAGAAACGTTTGTTTTACTTTACATGTAAAATTAGGGACATACCTAATAACTTTTTTATATCTAGATTTTGGGTTAGTCTTTTAAAAATTACTCAAGCGTACCTTACTATGGAAAGATCTTCCAGCGGTGTTGGCAGTAAGAATTCAAAGCCAATTCTTCTCCACTGAAATAAAACCATCCTCACTGGATGTTTAGAGAAGTTATTGCATGCCATTGTTCTTTGACCAGCTGTATCTTTTGACATGGTTTGTTTTATATATTCCACAGAACATTTGTGCTTATGTCTTCATGCCATTCTCTTTCATGATGGGAGTAGACTGGGAAGACAGTTTTATTGTCGGTGGCCTACTAGGTTACAAAACTTTCTTCAATGAATTTTTGGCTTATGAGCGTCTTTCAAAACTGATTCACAACCGAGAAAAGGGTGGAAGCATGTACATTAATGGAGTGAAACAGTATATGACAGTAAGTAACATTTTCTGTTCTACAGATTTATTGGATCTAATACCTCAATGTTGAAACTCAACTTATTTTTTAATATAGGCATAAAGTGGTCGCATATTACTCTAAAACGTGTCCTTAAGTGACAGAGATCAATTATGAAAGTGCACTATTGCTTTGTGAGGCTGCTAGGACTGTCATCACACTAGCTGTCTCAAACCAACATAGAAACAGAAGGGCATAGTTTTGGCAAACATATCATGTCCCACAGACAGAGGCTGTCTTCAAGGTAAGCTTCTTACCTGATTCTTAGCTAGCACTTTCCTGTGAGCTACTGTCCTAAGAAGAACTTGGGCAAGAACTGGAGGATCCTCCTGCCCTCAGAGGTTTGCCCAAGCATTAAACTTGAAGAGAGACATCCAGCAAGCTTTAGCAGATGTCATTACTGGCACACCTTTGCTGGAGGCAATTGTCCCCTGTGCAGAGGGCAGTAATAAAAGATATGTATTACATGGCATACGCTTCACTTGCCACACTGACTCCAACCAGTCTGTTTCAACTACCACTGAAAGCTAGTTTACATAAAGACTTCCAGCCAAAGCCTTGTCCCACCTCTCACTGGCAGTCCACGCAACAGATACATAACCACAGTGCACTTAGGAAGGCTGTGCTAAGGGAATCCAAAGTGTGTGCACAGGGCCAAAGGTCATGCAGTGATCAAAGCTGATCAAATCTTTGCAGCCATGACTGCTCCCCCACCTGGCACCCACATGCACAGCCTGTGCTGAATTTGTCCTAAGCACAGGCAACAAAACCCATGATATCCAACTTTACACCTGCATTGGCCTTCTTTCCTGAAATCAAGACAGATTATCACTAAGAACCCTTAATTATAAAGCATTTTATACAGCTTTTAATCTTCTTTTAATCTGGTGTGATGCTGTGAATACCTCTCATATTAAAAACAAAAACCGTGTCCTCGACCACTTGCATTCCTGATTATCAGGACATATTTCACATGTGGAGGTAGAAAGATAGAAGAATAGATGGTCTGATCAAATATTCACACCCTTGCCTGACCATCCATTATCAGTGTTCCTGGAAGGATCTTTGTTGTGCCCTGCTACAGTTGTGCTTCATTCTGCCTGGGGAATATGGCTCTGAACTTCTGTATGTGTGAATAAGGGGTTTTTTGGTCTGGAAGTCAGCCTTAGAATGCAGATCCTATGAATTCTATTTCACTTTTTTTTTCTTTTTCTTTTTTTTTCTTTTCAGTAGGATGTCATACAGAACTTCCACATTCACTTTTTATACCTGTAAAGAGCTGTATTAGCTTCCATGATAAAAAGGTCTGATATATAAAAATAATTTTGATTTATAATGCTGGTAAAAATTGCCCGGTAACCATTATAATTACAGCACAAAAGTTCAGGTGAGAGTGTGCTTGACTTCATTTTTAATTTCTCTTCAGTTTCAGAGCTCTCTAATACATCCTCACACAGATAATCACTCAGAGTGAACAAACAAGTGTCCTCACCTGAGTCAGTAATTACGTGGTTTCCTGTTTTCAGAGAAAATAAAGTGTAAATGAAAGCATGGAAATCACAGCACACAAAGCTTTTTCTAGGAAAACCTGGTAGAGTGGGTACTTGAGAAGCATTTTTCTGCATTTGTGCAGATTGATTGAAAGTATCTACAAACTGATGTTCATAAAAGACAAATTAAAACAGAGAAACTTCTAATAAACAGGAAACCTGCTAGAATACTCACACGTTTTCAGCTTTAGCCTAAAACCCTATTCCTATATAGCTTAAACAAGAATTCAGAACTGCCAAGGGAACAAAACATTTACTGAGATACGTTGCCCGCTTTCTCAAAATGTTTGAACTATATTTATCTGAAGTTTTGCAAGGTTTGTAGCCTGATTTCACCTGAAGTCATTCTGTGTCATGTCAGGGGTCCCTCCGTGGAAGCAAAGGCCATCCTAACCTCATCTCTCATTTGAGGTCCAGGTTGAACAGGTGTTACTCAAGGGGAGAAAGATGGTGGAAGTCAGTAAGGAAATAAGCTGCTAAAGGGGATTCCAAAATCTTAATGTCCCTCTCTGCCTGTTAACACATCACAGTATCACTGTCTAGGAGACCAATTTCCCTTCTATGCCCAGGGTGGAACATGCACAGAGCAGCTTTGTACATAGAGTCCTCTGCTTGTTCAGGGACAAAGTAGTCAGGGATGCATACCAAAACTTGAGGTTTCAACAGACTATCATGGAGGCATCCAGCTATGAAGGAGCAGCTGAGTTATAGCTCTCTGACTCATACTTTCAGAAAGCAGCAGTTAAATTTCCACTAGTAAGATAAGATTTTTTTTTGTCTTTAATTGCTATTACTAAATTCAACAAGACACAACAATATACATGAAAATAAAAACATCACATGATTTGTGAGTTCTCACATGGGCAGTGGGTATAAAAGCCATCAACTTCCAGCAAGAGAATGAGCCTACCTTTCTGAAAGCCATTACTTGGGGCAGCAACCAAGTGAAATTGAGGAATTTTAGTACTCGGAGCCCTGAGCCACAATGCCATATTTTCAGACCCTTGAATCAGCACGAGCTGTTTCAAACAACTGAGAGGGTATGTGTTTGTTTTCCAGGTTCGCTCTGAAGTCATTGCCACCTATGCTCTTTGTGGGTTTGCCAACTTCGGCTCGCTGGGACTGGTAATAGGAGGCCTGAGTAAGAACCTCTCTAAAAGACAATTTCTTTGGCAAGCAAATCCCAAGGAAAACACCAGAAGGAACAGGCTGTGGGTGAAGCTTAGCAACATTAGGAGCTGAGGTGCTGCTCTGCTAGCACCTAACGTTGCATGGAAGGGGTCCCAGAGGGGCATAGGCTTTGAGGTGGAGGTACTGGGAGAGGTGTTGAGGGCAAGGGGAGGGAACTAAGCCTTGCTAACAGTCCTCCCTCTTTAGCCTTCAACCATGAGCCTGAGCTACTACAGCTCCCTTGAGCTTCAGAAGGAGCAAACTGTTTCAGTAGTATGCTGATTTGAAAGATGAAGTTGTCTGTTTCCCGTAAAAATGTTGCATATATGGAAAAAGAAAAATTAAAAAAAAAATTTGAGTTCCTCACAAGGCAGCTGGAATTACTGGCAGCCTTCTTTTGCCCTGAAGCCCAGTGGGCTCCATGATGCCAGCAGTGGGAGAGCATGGAGGAGCAAGACCCAGCCACAGGACCAGACCCTTCAGAAGGGCACCATCAGCAGCACAGATGTACAAGCTCCCAAAGCAAACAGAAGTCACCATTTTATATACAGGCCGCCTTCTTAACAGAAGAGCCAACACTGGCACTTGGCCTTCAAATAACCCACTAAAAAATGTCACACTTTTTCTCCTTGTTTTCCCTAGTTCAAACTGCAGGGTTGGGAATTCCTCTTGTAGTGAAAAAGCTGACAGCTTAATCTTCCTTACATATATTTCTGTTTGACACACACTTTATTTTTCTTCCTAGCGAGTATTGCTCCCTCAAAAAAGAAGGAAATAGTTGATGGTGCTTTCAGAGCAATGATTGCGGGAACTGTTGCCTGTTTCATGACAGCCTGTGTTGCAGGTAGAGTACCCAGCTTTGGTGTCCCCTACAATCAGTGACCACCATGTGGCAGTGCATCGGTACCAGACTACACAGAGCTGGGCAGCCCCTTGTCACTCAAACACAGGTGTTTTTGGGCTTGGCAGGGTTAAAAGTCAATATGAGATGAAAGGTTCCTGAAAACTAGAATAGGAAAAGATTTTAGTTCTTCCATTATGTCTTTTTGCCTTTTTTTTTTTTTTTTGGTTAGTTTGTGCATAACACGACTCATATGCAAAGCTACAGAAATAGAGAAGTAATTCCGGAATAGAAACAGAAGAATTAGAATGAAGGAAGAGTGTAAAAGAGAAAGAGGGAAGCTGAACAACTCTTTGTCTCAACACTAAATTGATATTTAGGTTGATATTATTTCCACAGGGAACCTAAGTTAATGAAACAGAAATGGGACTCAACAACAGATCCTTAATTTTTGAAGTCTCACCTTCAAGCTGAGGGAAGAGTCACAATGCAACAACCATTTTAGGGGTAAATTATAAAGAACATAATATTAATGATTCCAAAGATTTAATTAATTGATCAGATATGATTCAATAGATAAAATTTATCTCCATCATTTAACAATCACTTTTCCAGCTCTCTTCCCTGAGTATGTAGCTGAAAACACCATGGCTGTGTCTACCACAAATTCCCTATCCCTTTTTGATCACCGTATCAACAGAAACATACACATTTTAAGGATAAGCCCACACTGTTTTCTGAAGCTTACAGAACTAGTACACTTGAAATGTCTTTAGTCTCACAGCCATCCATAGTATTTTAACACATGACACTGCTCTGCATATCTGAGGAATCAGGAAGACCTACTAAAACGTGTCATTTCATGATACTGATCTTAAGAATAATATTGTGAACAGCCACTGGGAAAATCTTTCCAAAATAATAAAATCTACTTTAGAAAGAAAATTGCATTCCACCCACTCCTGCCATGGCAAATGCTTTCCTTATACCTAGGAGAAGGTAGAAGAGCCAAGCAACTTCTATTACCCCAGTTCTGACAAGAACATACTAAAAATGCGTCCGAGTTGCACAACACTACATGAGTTGTCACTTTCATATCCCGTGTCTCCGTTACTGCAGTGAGTGCTGATATTACTGTTTGCAGAAAAATTTCAGGAATATCTATGAAAGCGAACTATCTCAATTTAAAACAAAATAAAAGGTTCTGTATTTACTTGCACTGCTAAAAATGCAACATAGCTCCATTTTAGTTAATGAAAGAACACTGATGCAGCAATGAGAAAGCCATTACCATAACTTTTAGTGTAATTAAAAGGGGTAAAAAGCTAAAATGGTTGAAGTGTAACAAGTTACTGTAGTTTAATTTCTACATATAAAAAGTGAATATATTTTTGGGTTTGTTCCTTAATCCAGTTCTTTAAAATTATTCAGATTTTTTCAAAATCCCACAATTAGAGGTTTTTAATCTTACACCTTTACAGAACCATCTCAAATGGTGACTTTTTATCAAACAAAATTGTTCATTTCATCATGCCCCCATGACTCACATCCCTGTGTCTTGTCTTCCTCTTCATTACTCATGAAGAAAATTGCTACTTACTTCACAGGAATGCTGACTGTCTCCGATCTGGAAGTTCCTTGCCACATCTTATTAGGAAATGCCTCCAACTTCACAGATTTCCCTGTCAAGAGCATAAAGCTAGTGGAATGTTGCCACCGTCTCTTCACTAGGTATTAAGGAACTCTTTATCCTCTGTCAGCATAATTTAGGGAGCTCATATATTCTCTGAAAACCTTTTTTTTTATGTTTTTGGTATTTTGGTTTTTTCCTTGGACACCTGTTTCCCATGAACTCGCATATTTTAAACAAATGAGTATTTTAATGCTGCTGAATTGTTTACCTTTTCTTGGGGAACTTTTCTGTTACAAGACAAGCACAGACGGAACCAATACACAACTCAAAATATCTTTGTTCAATCCTGAGCTATCCAAAAGACTAAAGATAGCTTATCATACAAAGATTCAGTGGCCTAGTTCTGGTTCATCTCAAATATTGACAAAAAGATAAATATTTGTACTAGCATAATGTTTTAACTAGACACATCACCCTGACTGCCTGTTTGCCACAAGAGTTTTCTGTGGAAAGAGGTACCTTGTTTCATTTACTTGGTACCAAGATTAGTAGAAACTTGAAATTTCTTACACTGTTTAACTCCTTTTGTTAGGAATCAAAATTCCAATTCTAATTTCAGGGGTTTTTTTTTCTCTATTATTCTTTTGACAGGTATATTTTTTCCTTCTGTGTCTTGACATAATATGTATCTTTGAGCATGGGCATATACAATGTGTAAAGTCTTATCTTTATGGTAAAATTTTTAGATTTCAACTATTCACAAAAATGTAGTATAAAAAATTACTCATGGTAGTATCAAGACCACCAGCTTCTGCCTGAACATCAGTACTTGAATATCACTTCAAAGAATTTCTGTTCTTGCAACCTGATGTTCCAAAGGAGTTTATCATGACACTGAACCATTGTAAAAAATTATTACATAGTAAAAATCATCTGTAGGTACATTCCATCATTTTTATTTCTTCATTACTCCAACTTTTGTGCATCACACTGATTTTAAGTCTAACAGGTGGCTACAAAAACAGGAACCTGCTCTATTTTCAGCAGAATCAATACTGAGCAGATGCAAAAACATTTAATGGAGGAGTGGCGCCCTCAATCATTTCAGTTATCTAGGAAGATATAGCAGAGACATGAAGACTTTGTACAGAAAACCATGCATTATCCTCATAAAAAGAGAGAATATCTGGTCATGGTACTTGGCTGGTGCTTGGAAAGTCTTCTCTATTTCATTTCTCATGAAAATTTTAACACATTTAAAGTGCTTTGGAGAAAGTGTGTCTGCCTGTGTGTATGTGCATGTGTGTGTATGCATATAATGCAGAGAAAAAGAGACAAAAATTCCCACTAGAATATTCTGTGATTCTGTGAAAAGGAGTTTATCTGATTTCTGCTTTTATCTCCTTCCCCAGTGCAGATCATTTGGAGAAGATCTTTCCTGAGGGAAACTACAGTTTGAGTTCCTGGAAAGTATGTTGCCAGATACTGGGTCAATCTGCTTCTAATTGTACTTAGATTAAGTTCTAATTTTTTGCGGGGGATAGATTATAAATAAGAGTTGTGTTCCTTAGAAGAAAGGAAATAAAAACTTTCCTTTGTAACAATGTGTGAATTTCCCCCATGTGATCTTTATTTTCCATCTCTTACCAGCCCAGTTCCTCTGACTTGCTTGGTATTACTCATGAATTAAACTGGGATAAATGCAAGACATGTCTTGCTGCAGATCTCTTCTTCTTACAAATTAGAATAGAAGAACATTTCAAGCCTGATTCTCCTGATTTCATTTCTACCCTGAAACTGATCAATCTATCAGATTGAACTGCTGTAGGCATGAAGAAAATCAGATTTAGAGGATTTGGTAGCCACTTACAGAAAGCTGTGAACTAGAAATAATATTCAGAACTGCCATCCATTCTAATAGTATTTCTGCTCTTTTTGATAGCATAGAAGTATTTACTGTATGAAAATAAATGACTCCGTTCTCAAAAATCTCTGCACATTCTGCAAAGATAACTGTGGTTACATATATATATATAACTGCCTGCTATGAGTAGGTAACTATGACTGCATGTGAATTGAGCTGCTAACATGTGGTATGCCTCACCACCTTGGCCACTGAAGCACCGAACTGGGGAGTAGCCACTCTATACCCTAGTCCCCCTTCTTTTGTTCACAAGAGAGTGCAGGAGGTTGGTCTACGTTTAGAGTCAACCACATGAATGAAATGTCCAAACTCCAAGTAAAGTTTCCTGTATTGATTCTTCTAAATCTTTATTTTTAACCATTGTGGAAATTGATCCTGGAGTCACGAACCAGGAACTTTTACCCACATTTGAACATTATCAAATGTGGGTAAACTTGGGTCATAACATGACTATTCTCTGTGAAAACAACATTAATGTAGAAGACTTCTAAAGAATCCTTTTGAGGAGGAAATTGTTATGGTTTTAAGCTTCAGACTTTTCATAGACTCCAAAACTGAGAAGTTCTTTGCAAATTGAGATGGAGTGAGAGATATTCCTATCCTATGACATTGTAAATGCTAAATACTTGGGAAGAAAGCAAAGAACTAAAGTAAAGAAACATCAGAAAATCCTGACATACCCTCCTAATAAAAATTGTGCAGAAGGTCTATTCTGACAAAACAATTACTAACTTTCCAATCTTTCCTTAGTTACTGCAGAGTCTATTCCAAGAAATCCAGATTCGTAACCTTAGACAGTTGCCAGAACAGCTATTTACAGAGGCGATTGATTTAAACTTACTTTAAAAGATGGTGGTTTCCTGTAAAACTCAGTTTATTAACCTTTTCTCTGAAAAAATTGTCAGTATTATTACTACTTTTAATTTTTATCACTGGTTTCATATTGTTAGGTGTTTTTCTTTGGCCTCATCCGTCTAGGTGTAGCAGACTGCATGTCAGTCTCAGTTTTCAGGGCTTTAAAAGAGTGTTGACAATCCTGATTATGGCATATATATGCTCATATATACTTCATGCAAACCCATCCTAAAGAAATTGCATGGGTTTGATCCACAATTTTTCTTCAGCTTGCTGGTTATAGCAGGATTTATCTTTCAAATAAGTTTTGAGTCTGAAATAAAGAAATACATTATTTCAAGGAAAATTAATTGGAAACATTAGCTCTCACTGTCAAGCAGAACAGTGCTCTGTTTACAAACCATCACTAGTACTCTCCCTCTTTGCTACTCCCTACTATGCTCTATTTAATATCAACCTTTTGAAATGACCACTCTTTCCATTCCCACTATTGTATGCTGGTTAAAAGGACTACTCAGCCTAGTAGATACAACCATACATGAACTTCTAGAAAATCCTCTCATATTGTTTAAGGTAACAGTCTTCCTCCCACAGAAGAGATGTGGTGTATTTCTTTTCCTTTTTAGGACTCCTCTATAGAAGGATTAGATGGAAGGCAATTTTTGCAGAGTATACATGACATTTCCCTATCTATACCTGGTCAAAGAGATTGCCCACCTAGTTTGCTAATGGCTTAGTCAAAAGACAATATACATGGGACATTGCATCCTAAATGTAGCAAAAAAAGCCATGAAAGCAGGAGGGGATTGCTAAGAAGTACCACCATGCATTCAGGTAACTGTTTTCCCTCTGTCTTTGTGATGGTGGTAGGAGCTCAGTGTAGAGCTCTTTGTGTTTGTTTTGACACAAAAAGGGAACAGTACATTTCACCACCGTGGAGTTAACCTGGCATCCTGGACCCTGAACTCTCAGCACCCAGGAACACAATTCCGACAACACTGGAGACAATGAACCTGCATCACAGACCTGAAAAGAAACATATGATTTAATCAAATGCTCGTTACACATGTGGTGGGTTGACACGGGTGAACACCAGGTGCTCACCAAAGCTGTTCTATCCCTCTCCTCTGCTGAACAGGTGAGAGAAAACCCAGCAAAAGGTTCATGGTCTGAGATAAGGACAGGGAGAGATCACTCACCAAGCACTGTCATAGTCAAAAAGTGACTCAACTTGGGAAAAATCAATTTAATTTGTTGCTGATCAAGTCAGAATAAGATAAGGGGAAATAAAACCAAATCTTATAAATACTTTCCCCACACGTCTCCCTATGCCCTGGGATCAGTTTTACTCCTGATTTTCTCTACCTCCACCCCCTCAACAATGCAAGATGATGGGGAATTGGAGCTGTGGTCAGTTCATCACACCTTGTCCCTGCCGCTTCTTTGTCATCAGGGGGAGGACTCATCACTCTCTTTCCCTGCTCCAGCATGGGGCCTCTCCAACAACAGTCAGTCTTCCACAAACTTATACAATATGAGTCCTTCCATGGGTTGCATTTCTTCATGAACTGCTCCAGCACTGGTCTCTTCCCAAGGGTGCAGTCCTTCAGGAACAGATTGCTCCAGCATGGCTCACCCACAGGGTCACAAGCTCTGCTAGCAGTACTTCAGTGCAGGCTTCCCATGGGGTCATAGCCTTCTTCAAGAAACCACCCACTCCAGTCTGGGCCCTCTAGGGGCTGCAGGTGGATCTCTGCTCCACCATGGCTCTCCATGGGCTACAGGGGAATAGCCTATTTCATCATGGTCTGCAGGGGAATCTTTGCTCTGGTGCCTGGAGCCCCTCCTCCCCCTCTTTCTCCACTGACCTTGGTTCTGCAAGGCTATTTCTCTCACATATTCTCACTCCTCTCTTTTGTCTCCTTCTTTTGCAGCAGGTTTTTCCCCCCTTCTTAAATAGTTATCACAGAGGCACTACCACTGTCACTGACAGGCTCAGCCTTGGCCAGTAGTGACACTGTCTTGGACCCAGCTGGAACTGGCTCTGTTGGACATGTGGGAAGCTTCCGACAGCTTCTCAGAAAAGCCACACCTGTATTACCCCTCTTGCTACCAAATCCCATCCATGTAAACCAAATACACTATACACATGTAGATTCAAAGATCTGAATTAACACTTCGTAAATGATTCAAAAACAGATGAAGACTGTGTGGAGGCATCCCCGGTTCAAAGGTCTTGTAAAAAAGAGAGAATTTAACCAACTTTGTTGTTATTGGCATGGTAGTGCGCAATAAGTTGTAACTAATGCAGATGAAAAGTGAACAAATCATTAGTGGCACGACTCAATTTTTCACCCACTGGATGTCAGTACATATCTAATTTCTTTGTACTGTAGCTTTCACAGGATGTCAGTCATTAGAAGTCACTGGTAATAATTCCAGGAAAACTTTTACACAGTTCTGTGTTCAACAGTTCCAGGAAATATACTGTGCAGCCTTTATCTCGCTCAGAACATGTACCATCAACGAAAACTATCCTTAATTTAAGACAAAGTTCTCTCTGGCCTCAGTTTAGAAAAGTACTGAAACACGTAAATGAGGCAAGCCTAGTAGGTAACAGGAACATTTCTGTTTTAATTGGCTGAGAGGCAGATGGAAATAACAAGGACATTTTTGAAGGAAACTTCTAATTCTACATACCCACAGCATCACTTGAAACCTGTATACCTTTGTGAACGTGGGAGTCGTTCACTACGTGTTGCGATTTAACCTGGCACGTAGCTAAACACCATCCGGTCGCTTGCTCATCCCCTGCCACTACTAATGGGATGGGGAAGAGAATTGGAAGAAAAAAAAAAAGTAAAATTTGTGAGTTGAGGTAAACATAGTTTATTAGAACAGAAAATGAGGGAATAATAATAATTAATAATAGAATATACAAAAGAAGTTATATACAAGGCAATTGCTCACCATCCACTGACTGTTGCTCACCCAGCCCCCAAAACTGTGGCCCCCAGCCAACCTTTCCCCCAGTTCATATAGCAAGCATGGCACCATATGATGCAGAATATCCTTTTAGACTGTTTGAGTCAGCTGTTCTGGCTGTGTTTTCTTCCAGTTTCTTGTGCTCCCCCTCTCCAGCCAATTCACTTGTGGGCTGGTATGAGAAGCTAAAACATCCTTGACTTAAGGTAAGCACTAAATAATGAAAAGTCATTGTGTTATCAACATGGTTTTCATCCAAACCACAGCACTATATCAGCTACTAGGAAGACAAGTAACTCTATTGCAGCCAAAACAAGAACAGAGAGGCAGGTCGTATACAGCAAGTTATGGAGCCAAGTCAATGTTGTCCAAAGCAGGTATCAGCTTGTTCTCACAAAAGACATGAATAGAGAGGGGTAAGATGTCAACGGTACAGTACATGAATACCAGTTCTTTTCTTCTGCAGACTGAAATTGTTTTTGCTATGCAGTGGTTAGACTGATTCTCACTATGTAGTGCCATAAATCCATTGTTCCCAGAAGTTGTAAGTCTGTGGATGACTAACAGACTTCCAAATTCAACTAGACACAGGTAGCATTAAAGCCTCTTAAGCAAGTTGCTCAGCAGTAACTTATAGGTAGGTAGGTGTCTCTGAACCTCAGGCCTACCAGCAGTGGTAGAAGACTGTGTCAAGGGCATTGAGGAGTGCATGGGAAGCTCTTGGTCCTTGTGATGTACATGGCATTGGAAGCACAGCCCTGTTTGGCAGCCATCAGCACAGCTGATGTGCCCTGAGAGCAGCTGGTGTGAAGCCTCAAGTTTGAAGTCTGTGGGCACAGTTC